TAGATGAATCAATTTCAAGTTGTTTTCAGATTTTATTTTTTTGTTTTGAAAAGTCTGTATATGATTGTTTAAAAATGTTATTTAATAATTGTGAAAAGTTGTATTGAAGTTGAAGTAGAGAAGTTGTAATAAATGGGTTTGTATTTTCTAGTTCTTTTTCTTTGTTTTTGAGTTCTGTTTTTTCTAAATAAAAACAAGTTTCTTTTTTACAAATAAGAATATAAAAGTTGATTAGTTTTATAGTTTCATTTTGATGTTCTAATAAATTGTGAAGTTGTTGAAATTGTATTTCTGTAGGTAGAGTTTCTTTAAGATAAAAAATGAATTTTTGTTGGATTTGATATTTTAAGGAGTTAAATACTTTAGTTTCATTAAGTGTTTGGATAAATTGTCAATTTTATATTGGAAAGAATTGTTTGAACCATTATTTTAAATAGTCTAAAGAGTTTGCATGAGATGAAATATTAAGTTTCTGATGAAAAAGTGTTTTTAGAATATTAAAATCAAGATAAATATTGAATTTATTATCAGATCTAATTATGATATATTGTTTGTTTTGTTAAAGTTAGATACTTTTGATATGATATTAAATCTTTTAGATCAGAGTTAAAAGTCTTTAGCAAATATGATATAATTAATTGCTTGATAGTTGTTTGAGAGATATAGATGAATTCAAGCTAAGTTAATACAAACTTGAAGATGATTTTGGTTAGTATATAAGAGGATAGCAGCTGAAGAGACAAAGTTTTAGAATAGTTAAGTTTTGTGAAAAAAATTGTTATAAATACTAGAATAAGTTTTTTAAAAGTTTTTTTGAGTATATTAAAAGAAATAGTAATTGCTTTGTTAGTATTAGGATTAGTTTTTTAGATAAATTTAATAAAGAATTCAGGTTTGTCTCTAGTTATTTTGTAAATGATATAATAAAAGCTGGCTTTAAGAACCTTTTGTTTAGGAGTTTCAGGTTTGATTTCTTTGTCAGAATAGAAATCATATAAATAGAATTTAAGAAAATTAAAAATTTTTCTTGAAAATTCTATTTGAAGTTATGAATTGTCTTTCATATCATTAGAAATTAAGAAATTAGCAAGTTAGTAATATTAGTTTATATTGGCTGTTATTGTTGATTATTTGTTTGTTGCTATTGTTGCTATTGTTGTTGTTGTTCCTGAGACTAAGATAAGTTTTGAAATAGTGGTTGTTGTTGTTGTTAGTATTGTTGTTAATTATTATTATTAATGATATTATTGTTCAGTTCTATATTATTTGTAATATTGTTATTATTGTTAGATGATATTGTAAAGAAAAGTTCAGATACAAGTGAATTGTAGAAACTTATTGTTTGTTGAAATTTTTGAATAAATATAGGAGAAGAGCTTGATTGTTGAATAAATTGTTGTATACTAATACAGGCTTTATGATAAGGTTTGTTATTATATAAAGTAGCATCATTTGCCAGATAATGTTGGTTATTCATTTTTTTACAAGCAATTGGTAGGTTACATTTAGCACAAAGGTAGTTGTATATAGTAGGTAAAGATGATGCTATAGTTAAAAATAAAACAAATTCAGTAGAATTTGTAATTATGTTTGCTAAGGTTTTTTGATCTTTAAGTTTTTTGATAACATTTGTAATTTTGTGTTGTTTATAGATTTGATTAGTTATTAAGATAAAATATATATGATATTTGCCACAAAAGCATGTAATAACAAAACTAGATTCAGGTACTTTGAAGTAGTGATTGCATTTGGTATTTCTTTTAAGTTTAGTAATATTGTAATTTTTGGGTTATTTGTTTGCAGAAATAGGATGAGTTGAAGTTGCTATATCTTTATGAATACTAATTCTAAAGCTTTTAGGACACTTCTGATAAAAATAATTAAGGTTAATAGTATTAGGTACAGTTATTACTAGAGTTGTCATTTTGATTTAAAAATAGATTATTAGGTGTGTTTTTTAAAAAAATTTGTTTTGTTTAAAGTTTCTAGACTAATTAGAAAAGTTTAGATTACAGATAAGCTGATTAGATGTTTAAAAAATTCTAATGAGTTCCAGAAAAGTAAAATTTCTAGGACAACCCAGCAAGTTATCCTAAAATTGTCAATGAAAAAACCTGCAAAGAACAAGTTTTTGTTTTTGTTTTTTGGTTGTATCTTAATAAGTTTTGGTCTGATTTTAATAAATTATATATTAAAATGTGATGAGCTGAACAACTTTTAAATAAGTAGAAAGATAGGTTTAATTAATAAAATTATGTATAAATGAACAAAAACCAAAAACTTATTTTTGGAACTTTTTTCAGCAACTAAGTTTTATTGGGAAATAAAACACAGCTATCTAGAAAGAGAAAAGTGTACTAAATAATTTTATTTAAGAGATCAAGTAAGGTTTACTTAATAGAATATTAAGAAATAATCAAATGTTTTTTTGTAGTTTTAGTATAAATGATTTATGAAAAAAGTTACTTTTTGTATTAATAACATATTTTGAAATATATAATAATTTAATAAATATATAAACTCCTAATGATTACTTAAACCAAACTAATACTAAAACAGTTTGAAGAATTATACTTTTAAGATAATAATATCTTTGATTCTGTTTATAAAGCAGATTGTTGTTAATAAACTAAAAATACATGAAAAAACTAAGATGCAGATGATTTTTCTGATAGTTTGTGTTGAGATCAAGTCTTGTTTGTTGATAAACTCTCTAACATATTTAGTATCCAAACCAGAAGAACATTCTAAAAACAATAAAGAAAAAATCTAATTGAAGGTTAACAAAAACTTGAAAACAAACAAATAACTGGAAACATTCTCTTTGATTTGACTTTTTGTATATTACATTTGTTAATCTTCTCTATCCATTTCATTTTTTTTACTTAAAAATGAGAAAATTAACTTTTCTTATTACAAAAGATCAGCATTGTTTATCACTTCCTTTTTTAGACAATTATGTGTTGTAACATAATGTAATAAAAATACAACAATCATATGTATGGTCTAACATATGATGTAATGAAGAAACAAAAAAAGATTTAAGTTAGAGAATTATAACAAATTAGAGATATATAATAATTCTTAAAATCATATATATAAAATTTTTATCTCTTTAATATAGGTTAAAGTGTAGTTAGATTCTTAGTATAGGTTTAAAATATTAGTGTCCTAAATGATCACAAATAAAGTATGCTTTCTGACAATTTTTTTTTTCTTTTTTCTTCCTGTATCTCTTTTTAGTTTAATTTAGTTTAATGTTTTTTTTTCTTCTTTCATTTCCTTACAAGAAAATGTTATCAGATTAGTAATATTCTATTGTAAGATGGTGATCAAATAAACTTTCTAGATTCTCTTTTTTCTTTAAGAATTTAAATAACTGATATAACAGATTGCTTGTAAATGCTTATAGAAGTAACTGCGAAATGTCGACTTAGTATATTAAGTCTAAAAATATTTGTTAGTATATAAACATGAATCTTAATCAAGAGTATTAGCAAGACTGCCAAAGTGAAAAAAAAATAAAAAAATAAAAATAAATATATAAAAAAAAACCAAATATTAGATTAAATAGCACTTAGATGTATAAGAACCAGATGCTACTTGTCTGGTAAAGTACAAGAATCAAAGAATTTAAATAGATAATCTTCTAATTAGATTACAGATTTAACAATTAGTTTAAAACCTTTGAGTATACTACTTAAATAAACAACCAAAACTTATATGTATAACTAGTTGTATGCTTACCTTGTACAAATTATATATAAATATAATTGAAAACACAATAAAGGCAGTAGCTGCCATAAACATTAACTTTAGTAAAAGCAAAAAAAAAATTCAAATTAATTTAGAAAATAATAAAAGATATAAAAAATTTAAACCAAATAAAAAATCTTTTAAGAACCTGGAATAAACAAAATAAAAATACTTTTTATTGGTAATTCATAATTTATAAACAGTTTATAATATTACTTTAATATAAAATCAGATAATAAAAGTTCAAATTATTTCAATTAAAATTTTAATTACGATAATATCGATGTATAATTATAAAAATTTTAACTAGTGATTACGTAACTGATTTTGGTGAGGGTTACAATCAATGATCCCAACAGTTAAAAATTTCGACAATATAATAGACCATACGTGCAAACCCTATTTTAACCCTTATCTAACTCTAAAATTAATTCTTCCTAAAATTCTAATTGTATTTGATACATACATATGATTTGAACCTAAAACAATTAACCTGTTAAAAATCATGTTAAATTTAAACTATATGGACATAAATGTATTAATTAGATATCGATAATCTGTCACGTATTTGAGCTGTCAATGAAAAACGCCAAAAACTTGTTTTTAATTCCCATAGGGAAATAATACAGTAAAAAATATTTGATACCTGTTTCCAGAAATTAATATAAATAAGGTATTACCTTCTCAGTCTATGTTTATAGACGCCAACTCTGTTATAGGCTATTAACGTCTTATCAATCATTGCAGCATTACCTGATTAGAGATAGTGAATTTTGATTCGGAAAATACGGTATAAAATTAGATACTTATAGCCATTGTTATGCTTACTCCCACAGAATGATCTGTCCGGTAACTGATGACGGCTCATCTTCGTATAGAAACAGCAGTTCAGGGATGAACCGAAGTGTAATATATGTATCGCTGAAGTAGATAATGATACGTAAATCCGTAACACATTCATATACGTATGAAAATAATACGTTGAATACTTACCTTATGCCGGTATCGTTTCAATAACCGTCACATGATACAATTACGAGATATGAAACCATAACAGGAAAATAAAATAGTATTAACTTTTGCTAGAATTCGGAGTTTCGGTATTATTTTAAAAACAAATTAGAGGTAACATCACAATTATTACAATAAATGCATTAATAATTATAAATAGTGTTAATGTGGTATACGTAGTTTCCGCTTAGTATATTTAAATCTACTAAGCAATAAATTCAAGACGAAAAATAATGTTTAATCGTCTGAAATTTTGGGAACGTCAAAAACCACAAGTGTGTACGCGTCAGGTGTTTGTTAATGAGCCTTTGCCACAAAGCAAGCTTGATAAAAAGGGACGTCCAAGACAATGTTATGTTACCAACAAAATCACAACTTCAAAGTATTCGATTTTAACCTTTGTGCCAAAAAACTTGTATGAACAATTCCATCGTATCGCCAATTTTTTCTTTTTGTTATTAGTAATTTTGCAATGGTTTCCAGAATTCGCCACCATAAATCCTATAGTAGCAGCTTTACCAATGTTTATAATAACGAGTATAACTGCTATAAAGGATGGGTTTGAAGACTTTAAACGACACGTGACCGATAGATCTGTTAACAATAGGAAGACGTGGACATTAGGAAACTGGACAAATTATAATTATCCAAATCCAAGCTCTGGTCTTTTTTCTTTTCAATCAAAAAAAAAAACTTCAGAAAAATTAAATGAAAAGGATCCAAATTGGAAACAAACAATGTTTAGAGATGTTCGGGTAGGAGACTTCATTAAATTACATAACGATGATTTCATTCCGGCTGGTAAGATTATGACTTTCGAAAAAAATCATTGGTTTCACATATAAGCGTGTGAATTCTCATAGATGGCAAGTACAATAAGCCTAGGGTAACCATATTATTTACTTATTGTCTCTTGCTAGATATCCTCATCCTTTCAACTTCGGAACCTAATTCACTTTGCTATGTAGAGACTAAAAATCTTGATGGTGAAACAAATCTCAAGATTAGATCAAGTGTACCAGAAATTGATCATTTAGAAACTCCTGAAGATTGTACATCAATTAGGTTTTTTGTAGATTCTCAACCACCTGCCCCAAACTTATATAGTTATAATGCTACATTGGTATTTCCGGATGGTTTACCGGACAGACCACGTTCCCGTGGTGGCCCTAGTAAAGTACCGGTCAATTTCAATTCATTGTTGATGAGAGGTTGCATATTGAAAAATACTGAATGGGTAATTGGGTTGGTTGTGTTTACTGGCACTGATACGAAACTTGCGCTGAATTCTGGTACAACACCATCAAAAAGGAGTCAGATAGAGAGACTGATGAATCCACAAGTGTACGTGAATTTTATATACTTGTGAAATTTATAGTTAAATCGATAACTTCATTATCGTTTTTGTTTAATTAGTATCGCAAATTTGGTTATTATGACATTAATGTGTGTGTGGTGTTCTGTTGGAACAAGAATATGGGAAACTGGGTTTAATAAATTAGATCCGCCATATCTTGATACAAAAGATAATATTGGACTTAGCGCCTTTATGGCATTTTGGTATGATAAGTTTTAATTCATTTTATTGTATCACTGTTTTTATGATACTGATCGTTTTTTATCGATAAATTTCGGGTTATAGGAATGCTTTAATCTGTTTTCAAAACATTGTTCCAATCTCATTGTACCTGTCAATTGAATTTGTAAAGAGTGTTCAGGTATGCGTTATTTGGTCGATGAGAGCTAATTTTAATATGCCCTAAACGATATAGTTTATTATTACAGGCGTTCTTTATTTTTATGGATAAAGAATTGCATTATGATGTAACCGATACACCATGTATTCCGAAGAACTGGAATTTATCGGATGATTTAGGTAGGCGTTTAATAATTCTAAAAAAAAAAAAACTTTTGTTATGTACTATTACTAAATTTATTTTATTTCATGTTAATAGGTCAGATTGAATATATGTTTTCTGATAAAACTGGTACGCTAACGCGTAACGTGATGGAATTTCGTAAATGTTCTATCGGTGGTAAGACTTACGGAGAATATCGAAGCGAAGGTGATATAAATATATATAAAATACAATTTTTATAAGATGGTGAATGGAATTGTCTAATATTAATGTTAAAAACCTGCAATCATACATTCCTATACCTTCAGACACATCTGATTCTGATAATAAAATATCAAAGAAACCATTTACCGATAAAGAGCTTTCGCTTGATATAAAGGATCAAGCCAAATCAGCAACCATTAAAGATTTTTTCACTCTCCTTGCGATATGTCATACAGTCCTGGTTAGTACAAATGCCGATGGTGAACAACAATACAAAGCACAATCTCCCGATGAAGCCGCACTTGTGCAAGCTGCTAAGGATGTTGGATATACTTTTCATTCACGTGAACCAGACAGTATATTTATCACTACGCCTGAGGGCGAAAAAATTCGCTATGAATTATTGAATATACTCGAATTTACAAGCTCACGAAAAAGGATGAGCATTATTGTGCGGAACCCTGTAACTCGTCGTATTATTTTGTTTTGCAAAGGAGCGGATAACGTTATTTTTGACCGGCTAAAAATTGGACAAGATTATATCGTTAATGTCACTGGTGAGCATCTGGAAGAGTTCGCGAGAGAAGGTAAATAATTGTAAATATTTTATAGCTTGAATACAACATAATATACTATGTAGTTTGACTAAAAAAAAAAAAATGCAAATTCAGGTCTTAGAACACTTTGTCTAGGTTATGCTGAAATTAGCCAAGAAGAATATATCAAGTGGAATAATGAATACCGTGAGGCCTCAACTGCACTTAATGATCGAGATAAGAGGGTCGCTGATGTTTCTAACAAGATCGAAAGAGAATTGATTTTGCTTGGAGCTACTGCGATAGAAGATCGTTTACAAGATGGTGTGCCAGAGTGTATTGCTACTTTAAAACGCGCCGGCATAAAAATCTGGGTGTTGACAGGCGATAAAATGGAGACGGCAATCAGTATTGGTTTCTCTACTTGTTTACTAAGTAGGGAGATGAATCTTATTATCGTTAGGGGTGGTGCTTATGGTGAACCTGGTAGTGCTTATGAACAAATGCGTAATGCGGTAGAAAAGTTCTTTCCAAGTGACCTTGATATTCTCGAGTCTGCGAAAGCACCTCCTGTTGAACCAAAGGGTAATGGTCCTCGACCATCAATGACACACACACGCGAAATGAGTTTTGGTGGTATTTCTCTTTTTTCCGAAAACTTGTCAAATATACATCGTCCTGGTGGATATGCTCTGATAATCGATGGTTCTGCCCTCAAACATGCTCTAGATGAACCCTTTAGTCGAAGCTTACTTTTAGATTTGGCTTGTCGATGTAAGGGAGTTATTTGTTGTCGTGTTTCTCCTCTGCAAAAAGCTAAAGTTGTAGAGTTGGTTAAGGAAGGGAAGCAGGCTGTAACTTGTGCGATAGGAGATGGTGCCAATGATGTCAGCATGATTCAGGCTGCGCACATTGGCATTGGTGTAGCAGGGGAAGAAGGACTACAAGCTGTTATGGCATCTGACTATGCCATTGCACAATTTCGCTTTCTTACTCGTCTCCTATTAGTTCATGGGCATTACGCCTACATTCGCAATTCTTCCCTGATTCTAAACTTCTTTTATAAGAATATGATTGGTGTTGGTGTTCTGTTTTGGTTCCAATTATTCGATGGATATTCCACGACAGTCGTTTTTGAGTATACATATACATTGTTTTGGAATTTATTCTTCACTTGTTGTGCTGTGTTGGCCATTGGTGTTTTTGACCGTGACGTACCTGATAGAGTGGCAATAGAAGTACCAGAATTATATCAATGGGGAATGAAAAAGAAAGGATATACGATGCCCATTTTTTTTGTATATATGCTTGAAGGAATATACCAGTCCTTGGTATGCTTTTTTGTTCCATATTTTGCTTATGGTTTAGGAAGCGTAAACACAAGTGGTCGTCAACCCGATTATCTTGAACTTGGCACAGAGATGGCAGCAGCTTGTATTACAGTGGCCAATTTGTTTAATGGGTTTAATTTTCAATGTTGGACAGTGTTTCATTTTATTTCCGTATTTGGATCCATCGGGTTAATATATATTTACATCGCAATATATAGTTTAGTGCCAGATATGCAAGATTCAGGAATTTATGGCTTTAATAATATTGTATATCATTCTGCCGTATTTTGGTTTTGTATTATATTATCTATTATAGTTTCTATATTACCACGTTTTCTATGGAAATACTGGCAAAGAAATTATTTACCTACAGATGCTGATATTGTGGAAGAAGTGTGCAAGAAAGATCCCCAATTTAGTTTTATTCGAAATATTCATTTCAATCCAACTTTAGGAATTTACAGAAGTTTAACACGTGAAACAGCTCTTTCCGGTCAAGAATCAGCTGTGCCTATCTATACGGATGGTATACTTACTCATACTCCTCGACCTAGTTTTGCGACTGAACGTTCTTCAAGCACTACTTCAGGATTACAGATAATTACCCAAGTAGAGCAAGGAAGTGGTATTGAAGTACCAGAGACTCCGGCCAGCATGACATTTATGCAAACAGGCTTAACAAAGCCTATGCGTGGTTATGCATTTTCGCAAGAAGAAGGCGCAGGAAGAATCATGGCGCCACCTTTACGACGCCGTAAAACTAATCCCGGTCCATTGGGACAATCGGCTAGAATCGAAACTAGTCCACTACGTCGAATGAGTTTACCGGACGTGAGAGCATCTGCCGATTTAACAACACGAGTTGTAAATAGCGAGGAAAGGATACGTATGGTTCAATTCAGAGAATCAAATAGCTCAACAAGCACATACAACGTACATTCTAGGGAAGAAAGCGAAAGTTTAAGCGAATCTCCCATTTCAGAATCAATACAACAAAGACTGATCAATAATGAACCAATATCTATAGAGGTGATAAATAATGATATTAATGATAATATTGATCAAAACATAAACATTAATCAAGCAAGAGATACGGACAATATTGATCGAGAAGAAACGACTGAATAGCAGTTGTTAATAATGAGTTATATTAAAAATATTGATTTTTTTTTTCCTTTTTGTTGAAAAGTATTTATGAAAAAAGAAAAAAAAACTTACTAGTGGTGTATATATTATCTTAAAAACTGGTTAATTAATCGTGTGATGTTCTAAATCTTAAAACCGAAAATCCCTTCTAAACTTTAGATATAACCTTAAATACTAGCCTTAACGCGAAACAATCGGAGCCAAAAATTATATATAAGAGATAAAAAAAACACTATAAGTGTTGTAATAAATAAAAAAAATAAAATTTATTTATGTAAAAAAGTTTTAAATTTATCGGATACAAAATGGTAGAATATTTTATTTTATTCATAGCGTTGTATATTTCAAAAAAAAAAAAAGCTTTATTTAAATTATAATTTACAATTTGAATTGAATTTATAACATTGACCAAAACACAGTGCTGAAGAAAGAGAAAAACAAAAATTATTCTATGCCTTCTAATTGGCTATCATAAAAATATTTTCATAAGCTAATGTAGCATTCATAGCAAGACATTTTTTGCTATATGTGCGCAAATTCTAGATTAACGAAACAAATTCGTAAAATCAACATGTGTTATATGTGCATAGTCATGACTTTGTTTTCTACAGCCATTATTCCATAAGATCGGCTGATATTAGTTCTGGAATTCTAAGAGAACGATTATCATGTTTTCTATTTTTTTTACCCTTTTTACAACCTATCAAGCTGCTAACATCATAAGCAGTTATTTGATTACAAGAGACACTTTTCTCTAATGAACTATGAATTTTATTAAGCTGCAACCCGTAGTGCGCAAAAATTTCTTTTGATACATCAGCCAACACTTCCAATTGCTTATCATGTAAGTTTCGGTTTAAGGCAATCTGCACTAGTTCTAGTCCTTTTTCCATGAAGCCAATATCGTTACTCTTAGAAATCAAAAAGATGAGGGAAATCAAACAATGACTAACGCACTCATCATCAAAAATTGGTGTGTCCAAGTGATTTGTGAGTAAGTGTAAATAATATTTAGTTGCATCTTTGATGGTTGGTGAGTACCGTACCATTATTTGGTAAGCTTGTCGGACATATTTTATTTCAGTTTTACTTAATGGACGTAAGGCGACAGGTGTCTCAAGCCAAAGTTGCGTAAGCGTTAACTTATTATTTGTTTCATCCCGCGTCTTCTCCATATTTTCCAAATTCATGATATCGTTACCTAAACGTGCCAATCTCTTCCAGACCAATTTATCAAAATCTTGAAATAAAGTAGTAGCTGCAGACCAATCTCCACTATATTTTGCTTCATTCATAATGGCTTGAGTTAATTCAGTTAGTGTAGGTTCTTGTCCAAATGATCTCATAGTTTCAATAGTGTACTTTGTGCAAAAACATATAGAAGGTTTTGTATGTTGACGCGACATTTTAGACTGCATTATGAAAACACGCGTTTTCATAACATAGTCATAGGTTTTTATGGTATGTGAAAGAAAACAGATATGAAATCCGTTCGTCGAAGGATTGTGTTGAGTTAGACTTTTACACGTAGAGGACAAGAAATGTTAGAATTCTGTTAAACTCTAACTTTCATTGTTATTTTGAACGTTCATTTAGGTTCGTCGAGCTGTAATTGGTCGGAATTTCCATGAAAAGATTTCGTGTAACATAATCTTCCGGATCCGTAAAGATTTCATGATAAACATTTTATCCGTATATTCATATAAATTTATACAAAACATTACCATAAGGCCAATTTTTGAAAGCCAAACCTACCAATCGAGAGTAGAGGTTCAGTCATTAATTTTTTTTTTTTTTTTTTGGTATTAAGGTGAGGCCTTGCTTATATCTTTATTAATAATTTAAAATAATTACATGTATATATGCTATGACCGAGGCCAACACTTGCAGTTAGGGCTAACCATTAAACTGCTAACTATATAGCTAC